TCGAGCAGCCCTGTGCACAAACCATATTATGTCAGACTGGTCTAAAAATTCCAGGCGTTTTACTCAGTAAAGCTGCTTGTATAGGACATGTTATCGCTTTCTGATGGCTGATAGGTCATGCACTGCATGGGGAAAATGGGTGTCGGACGCTTCGCCCCATTTCCACGTCGCCCCATGACACTTCGCCCCTAACCACTTCGCCCCATCTCCACTTCGCCCCATCCCCACATCGCCCCATCTCCGCTTCGCCCCATCCCCACTTCGCCCCTTCCCCGCTTCGCCCCATCCCCACTTCGCCCCATGTAGTATGAAATAAGTGAAGGCTAGGGGTGCAGACCAAATAAACTGCCAAAGACCCCAGATAATAAATGCTCCCAATTCTAGAAACTTAGGAAAAATACAAACTCTCTGATGAGGTGCTCGAGACACAGATGAGAGAAATGATGGATCCCATTCAGAGACGCCTCTCCTATTGGCTTGTGAATAAAATCATCAGGCGCTGGATTCAAAAGAATCCGTAGGTATGGGTCAGTGAGTTAAAAGGAACTCACTGCCTTGAGGAAAATGTTCCGTCAAAATTTGTCTGATATGTGACACTTGCAGCTTCATTTAGATGAAATTGGTTCCTCCAAGAGTGAAATTAGGATGTCAAAGGTATTGTCGTTCTCAGATAAGTGGGAGACGGGTTGGTATAGCCGGGTGGGAACAAAGTTGGATCTTTTTTTACTTCAAGCTTTTTTCTAGGTAGGGGAGAACCTAGAGGTTGATTATGAATTGTTCATTTGGTGATGAGCTAATTCTTTCCGTTGGTTAGCAATTAGTGAATCTGTTAAAATTGTTTTTTTAAGCCAAAAAAATAGATGAGATTTTTTTTTTACATGTAACGGCTGGGGCGAAGTGGGGATGGGGCGAAATGGGGATGGGGCGAAGTGGGGATGGGACGAAGTGGGAATGGGGCGAAGTGGGGATGGGGCGATGTGGGAATGGGGCGAAGTGGGGATGGGGCGAAGTGGTTAGGGGCGAAGTGACATGGAGCGACGTGGAAATGGGGCGAAGTGTCCGACATTCGGGAAAAATTAGTGATGTCCATGTGTGGAATTCTTCCCTTAAAAATCTTGAAATGAACATCTTTATTCTAATTTCAGTCCTCAAACCATAACATTAATGTTGCCCGTTGAAGTTGAGGAACAGTTTTGAATGGGCTGAAGGTTTCCCTGCCCAGCGATTCATGACTGATAATTGTTTTTTTTTTAAAACAAAAGGGCAATTGCCACACGCTGCATTTTATTTAGTGTGACAAAAATTGTTGTTATCTTGATTCATAATAAAGCGAATACTTGTAAATGGCCAGAAATCGGATTTAACGGCGTTGGGCCCCGAATAATGTTGTATTCTGGACGCTCTTTGTTGCGATCCCAGGCAAACTTAAGTTAGAATTTTAACAAATATATACAATAAATGAAACATAAAAATATTCACTAAATAAAAATAAAAAATAAATTTATATTGTACTTTAAGTAAAAATTTATAATCGCCACTTTACATTGAATTTAAAAAAAAAATCAGTGCGGCAAATTAAAAACAAATACACAGAGAACAGTTCATGTGAAAGATTAAAGAATTAACAAAATACTGAAAGGGAACGTCAAAATAATAGATTATTATTAAAACTCATGTACTGTCAAATTATTTCGCACCAGGCACGTACATTATGTCCATTGCTTTTCATTTTAAAGTGAACTGTTGCTTTCAAACATCTATTAGCCCCGTCTATACATAGAACTGTTTGCAGAGGCTATTCACAACAAAACTGTACATTCTTAAAATAATCTATGTTGATTTGAACAATAATCTACACTTTTAACAATAGTGTGACGTCACAAAAATAGGTTAATAAGATTGAATTTGCGTCGGGGTGATGTAAATCAATGTTAGGTTTTGCCCTTGACCGTCTTATAAACACTTGTATACTCAGTGTGTTACCTCCCGAGTGGACGAAGTTGGAAAAATTCACTCGGATGGGACTCGAACCCGCGACCTCCAGTTCTAGTGCAGACGTGCTACCACTCGACCACCGAGCTTGCGTACAATGATGTAGCAGCGGGTACCACATTTAACTATTCATAAGATGGAATTTGTGTCGGTTGATTTAAATCAATATTAGGTTATGAATAGTTAAATGCTGTACCCGCTGCTACATGTACATAAGATTCGATCCAGCCAACTGATCCCGCAAGCTCGGTGGCCGAGTGGTAAGACGTCTGTACTAGTGAGCAGGAGGTCGTGAGTTCGAGTCCCACCAACTTTCACTCGGGAGGCAACACACGGAGTATAAAGTGTTGATACGTCGGTGAAGGGCAAAATCTAATCGTTTTCAAGAATTAACAATAACAACAGGCATGCAACTTTTCCTCGGATCAGCTGATTTTCGCTTTTTCAATTCACACTTATGCCATTAAAAATTGAAAAACGCTGTACAAAGTCTTGTAAAAATTGGAATTTCCTCTTTGTTTTTGTTTATTCCAAGTTGCATGCCTGTAACAAAGAAATGGTTTGTCACAGTTCATTTGAATGGTACGTGACTTGGCTTTTGACTGATGGACTTGGTGAGGATTTTCTAAGGGTTCATGCAATTTCATTTTCTTTGGTGATTCGTTGTTGTGTGTAAGTACATGGTAATAAGCCAATGACAACCCTTTGTCACCCAATATTTTCAACGATTACATTTTGGGTTCACAATTTGAACAGAATACCCTAAACTGAACAGTGTCTTCCTGAAATGACATCGCGGCAACAGCGCCCTCGGTTGTCCGGAAAAGCACGGACAATTTTAAATGTTAAAAGATGTGCGCTTTGTAATAAAAATTATCCAAAAAGGGATTCAAATAGTTTCATACATTTATGAGTAGTGGAAAGTTGCACATAATGTGTTCCTAAGAAAAATTCATCGCTTGGACCCTTTTTAGTAGGCCTACTTAATATGATGAATTCGACTCCTGTTTTACATCGTGGGGCAAAATGTCTTTTGCAGGTATCCAACTTTGAGGACGCCTTTCGCAACCTACCTAACCTAAGCCCCGTCAACGTCATCATGATTACGCCTACTACTTCGAGCACGACCGTTACGACTGGCACTTGGATTTCACGGAGACTTTAGAGGACTTCAACGCACATCTACCTCCAGGTGTTAGCATTAATGCGAGTGAGATGGAACCAGATGTACACGTCACCATACATGAGCGTCACTACAAAAAGCGCCCCTACCCATTACTGCAGGGATATTGCATCGCCAAGCGCTATGTTGGTACTCTTCCCGCAAGCTGCCTCAAATTTGACAATGTCACAAACTTTCAGCTTTTTGAGTTTGAATCTGGCAAGTTACCCAGGGAACATCTCAGTCCTGGGTTCTGGTGTTCGGGCAAACGGCCGCCGAGAGTGTATTCGACTCATCGAAGCGCACTACCAGAACGTCAAGAAATATCACAAGCTGGGTGGTATGACCTGGATTTGAGACGCATGACTGCCGTTGAGAAAGCAGCAAGGCAGGAGAATATCACATGTCCAAATATATTCCAATTGGATTAGATGCACAACAGTTTAAACACCCCAATCACAAAATCAATCAAAATGAGGTTTATAATCACATGGATACTTGGTTGGTTTGTTGGAATAGCAACATACTAAACAAGGTGGACCCGTTTTACATGTAGGATATTCCAAACGATTACAATGTAAACGCATTGGCATGTTCTTAATAGGATTCACAATACATTGTGCCATCGAAATCTTGCCTCAAAGTAAAAAAGGCCACCAGTCGGACTCGACGACAAAATGGATGTTTGAAAAATGTTAACAGCGCCCTTTCTTCAGTCACCGCTTTCTGATTGGTTATCGAAGGAGCGCGCCATGATAGGTTGAACACATTACTTAACAAATACACAGACAGATAAATATGACGATGAGCACACATAAAATTATCCTGGCGTGATTTGAACCGGCGACCACCGGATTACAAGCATTACGAACACTCTACCAACTGAGCTATCCAGTATTTTCACATTTGTAAACACGAAAAGCAAAGAAAAGACCGTAAGAAATAAACAACAGCTAAGAAATAAACAATGTACAATGAAATGACAAAGAAATAAACAACAGCTAAGAAATAAACATGTACAATGAAAAGACCGTAAGAAATAAACAACAGCTAAGAAATAAACAAATGTACAATGAAAT